TTGTGCCCTTTGTTTGCCAAGCGCATAAAGCTGAATGTGTGCAAGTTAAGTGTGTGTAAGTTGCGAGTTACCTGTTCTCGGTCAGCCCTGCATTACATGAATGCACACAAACTGATGAGCTAAAGCTGGTAACCATTCAGTGGGTGTTCTATATCATGTATCCCTCCACCTACTATTCCTCACAACTGAGAAATCTGACATCCACATTTTTAAAACAGAAGTTGGATCCAATTGGGACGAGTCAACTTGTCTAAACAGAGGCTTTGGATTCAGCTAATAGTATCACTATACAATACAGATGATGGGACGCGGGTGGCGCTGTGGGTAAAACCTCAGCACCTAGGACTTGCCGATCGCATGGTCGGCGGTTCGAATCCCCGCGGCGGGGTGCGCTCCCGTTGCTCGGTCCCAGCGCCTGCCAACCTAGCAGTTCGAAAGCACCCCCGGGTGCAAGTAGATAAATAGGGACCGCTTACTAGCGGGAAGGTAAACGGCGTTCCGTGTGCTGCGCTGGCTTGCCTGATGCAGCTTGTCACGCTGGCCACGTGACCCGGAAGTGTCTGCGGACAGCGCTGGCCCCCGGCCTATAGAGTGAGATGGGCGCACAACCCTAGAGTCTGGCAAGACTGGCCCGTACGGGCAGGGGTACCTTTACCTTTACCTACAATACAGATGACAGGGATCTGCTTGTTTCTAATGATTACGCAGCCAATGAACTCTATTGCCCTGTACAATCCTTAAAAAAGGGTTAGGAATCTTTTCAGCTCTGCAGGTGAGAACTTTATCAGGGATCTTAGCCTCGCAGGCCAAATTTGACAGATCAGTGGGGTTACCCATCCATCAGTCACCTGACATGACAATGCTATCAGGTGATTGAGCACTTTGAAGCCCCAAAGTTGGGACTTCAAAGTGCCACATACAGGAAATTCAGCAGGCTTTGGCTCTACAGCCCAGCAGCTGCTCAGTGCCATGTTGAATTTCTCCCTGTGCATGGAAGTAGTTTTAGTCCTGAATCTGTTGTTAATCAGTTTCACTGGATAACCTAGAGATCACAGATTTTGGGGAGGAGGAAAAAAATCTCTCTGTATAAATTCTCTCATCATTTGTAATTAATAAGCCTGCGTCATGTTCCTCCATCCTGACCACAGTAGTCATCTTTTGCTAAACTAAACCCCACCAGTTTAGCTTTTCTGTATAGGGAGGGTGTGCTAACCCCCTGGACATTTTTACTGCTCCTTTTACAGCACTACAATTTGACTTCTGAGATGGAGCAAGCAGAAAAGTGCATAATACTCTGGATGTATGATTTTCAAGCTCTTTCTTTTCTTCAATGCCCCTCCAAAAATCCTATTTTCTTTCCCCCCCCAACAATTTCCCCATACCCAGTTTACTCCTTCCCTATAGCACACAGGCCTTTACTCTCCCTTTCAGTACCAAGCTCTAAAATTATAAAATGAGGCAAAATAAAATGCAAGATAAATAGCATAGAGTTGCCAGCAGGTGGCAGTGATTGGGGATTTCCTTGGCCTTGACATTAAACACTGAAAAGGAGGAGTTAGGATAAATAAGAATGAAACAAACCGTTAGTTAGACCTCCCAGTGATGTATTCTCATATGGCCCCAAACTTTATGGCTCCTTTCTTTCTTATGTAGTTTTGTCAAGCATGACTTCCTGATACTCATTAATGTACAGTAGGTAATGAATGTTTCTGTATGTTGTTTTAAATTTCCCCACCACCTTTTGTACAACACTCACAGAACAATAGCTATTGGGTGTCCAGTACATTTGGTAAAGAAAACAAATAAATAGAATCCTCAGCTTCTAGGCCACCAGTACCAATATAAATCACTTAGGAAACTGAGGTGATCATCTAGTTTGCCACTACAAAACATATAGCCTTGCTCTTCACATGTTGTTGGACTACAGTTCCCACCAGCTCCGACCAGCACAGCTGGAAGTTCAAGTCCAATAACATCTGGAGGATACTCGGTTGGTGAAAGCTGCTGTGGCCATTCTGACACCCAACAGAAGTTACCAGAGAGCAACTCGAGAACATGCATCATCATTCCCTTTGGCACACTAAATTTCATTACTCTATTTTAGCAAGTCTTGCAGAAGTTCACATCTCAGCATAGTGATACCTCTGGTTGCGGACGGGATCTATTCCGGAGGTCTGGCCAGATCCCAAGGTTTTTGCAACCAGAGAGACCACTTCTGCACACACATGCATGGCAAAAACCTGAAAATATACTTCCGGGTTCGCCGCTTAAGAATCCCAAAGTTTACATAACCGGAGGAATACGTAAGTGGAGATACGACTGTATAATCTTTGATGGATTGACTGAGGTGCAAATGAAAGGGGTAAGAAGAAATTCACTAAAGAACTACCTCTAGTTATTTGGAAAGGACAGGTGTCCTGAATTCCAACCACTTTTTATTCTCAAATTTCATTTGTCTTGCTAGAGTTTGTGCCTCTCAACAAGGTTTTCAAATTATTATTTTTTAAAAAGGAAGACTTTTATAGTTTCCTCTGCTCCTTACGCCTAACCTCAACCTCAACAATGAATTAACAATGCTACCATTCTCTCTCACCATTTCAACTCAGTGGTATACATTTTATCTGACCTTCTGTTATACTGGTTTTACATAATCTCAAAACTTTATAAAGAGACTTGATTCTAATTGTTCTCTGCAGCTTTCTTTTAAACCCCCACCCCATTTTAAAATACGTTTCTTATTTTGAAAATAAAATAAAATTGAACTTCCAAATCCATTTGCTCCTATTTATGGAATTCCAGTAAAAGATTTCAAGCCTTAGCTGTTAAAGAAAAACTTACCAGCTGCAAATTGACACTTACCTTCATTGTTTGCTAAAACTGCCTTTTCGCCCTCTAGTTTAGTTTTCCCATAGAGATTTAGAGGATTTGGTGCATCATTCTCTTTATAGGGAGGATTTGTTCCATCAAATACATAGTCCGTACTAATGTAGATCAAAAATGCTCCTACTTGAGCTATAAAAAATAAATAAATTAAAGCAATATGAAAAGATGTAAATACAAAGCAGTTACTCTCTTTATCTTTATTCTCTCCAAGAATTTAAAACACACAAACAGCAAATATTTACGTGATTGTGAAAGACCTAAGTATTTCTAACCCAGAATTTGTTTCCAACAGCTGGCAGCCAGTTCCCACTATCCGTCTCCTCCATCAATGCATGTTACTCAAACAGCTAATGATACATTTCTTGTGGTAAGAATTCTTTAAGTTCAGGTGTATAACCCATACGTATGATGACACATAAAAGATGATTATGCATCCTGAGAAGAAATGCAGACCAAACCTTTTTTACCTGCTTCTTTTGCTATGTTCCCTGAAGCAGCCACATTGAGCTGAGAAGCAGCATCTGGTTGACTGTCTACAACATCTGGCCTTCTCTCAGCCGCACAATGTATTATCACATGAGGCTGGAAATTAAACACCCATTTTAATGAGCAAAGAACAAGCAAATAGTTGTACCAAATCCACACTCTTCATGGAAAGCTAGCAGAAAATTGTCCCATGGAGTAAACCACATTTAAGGTGCAAATTTACTCTAGATCATCTCTAAGCTGTAAGGCTCAACATAGATGCAGAGAAAGAAAATCATTTTGCTCAGACATTTCTTCAAGCTGTTTCTGCAGTGGTTTAGATATGAAGAATTTTTTTTATTTTTTGGCAAACTTTAACATTTCTCAAGCTCTAGAAGGAGGAGTCCTTATACTCTGAAACACAGTGAGCAAAAATAAAATAGTTCTTATATCAGTGAATACAGGAGCCTTCCGTCTCCTTTGTTTGCTTTGCTCATTGGAGGTGCTCTTTCCCCCATTTTTCTTGTGCATGCAATTTGCATAACCAAAAAAAGGAATTCCCTAATCACTCTCTAAGTGAGAAGCCTAACTTATTCTGCAGTGTTATTCTAAGGCTTTCTAGGTTCTACTAGACTACTAGTATATAGCTACTTTCCTGCACACTAGTTTTCCTCATATCATGCACCTCATATACAGAAGGTGCACCAAGGGTTGCATCAGAGATTACAGAGGGGGGAAAATACATAAACAAAGCTAAATATTGCTGTGATAGATAGTGGACATCAATAATCAGTAAAACTTTATGTGACCAACTAACATGAATTTGCTGAAGAGAAACATGGTGGTTAGCCGCTTTATCCTTCTTTCCACCATTCTCACCTGAAAATCCTGGATGACATTGTGAACAGCAGTAGTATCTAGAAGATTAACTTGCTCAAACATTGGTCGAGCCCTGCTGTACCCACAACCAACAGCATTCCAATTATTTCCTTTAAATTCCTTATACACAGATCTGCCAAGCAACCCAGTAGCACCAGTAATCAGAACACGTCTGTTTGGCGTATCAACATCCTCCTGTAAAAAAAGAAAATTGTTATCTTCTATATTCTTAACAAAACTTAATCCATAGTTTAATATTTGTTTTAGAAGGCTTTAGGGGACCTTCAGTGTGAGTCTACTCCAATGCAAGCCCCACTTAGTTCAATGGGACTTATGCCAAGGAAGCATGCACAGGATTGCACAAACAGCCCACAGTATACTGAAGACAACCACCTTAGATTGCTTATAGCTCCAAGCTTTACATTTCAAGCATCAGAAGGACATATCTTACTATTGTTTACTGAAACTGACTTGCATTAAAAGGGACTGTTTAAATATATCGTATAAATAAAGATAATGTTTACAATTGTTCCAGCAAAAGGCTAATTCCCAGGCAGCTAATTTAGTAAGCTTCTTTGCATAGCAAAAATGGTGACTGGAATGATCAAAATAAATATTCTTTCAAATATGTGGGTTGAAGTGGAATTTCCAGCTATGTGAGGAAGTACATCACAGGCGTGGTTCAGAATCAAATACTTGAAAAGGAGGACGGGAGATGAATGACTAGTTCCCCATTCCACCTCCCCCACTCCAAGTTACAAGCACAGGGAAGGGGCTGTTAGTTACAGAGAGAGACCAGTGACAAGCTGTTATTCCAGTTTTGGTTTTGTATTGTTTTATTTGCTTTTAATTGCTGTAGGATCCCACTGCTGTTGCAACCCACACTGGGCATCTTAACGGTCAGAAATCCCACGAATTTTTATTTTATTTTACTTAAGACAGAGGGCATGGAAAACATTTTAACTGATCCTGATCTCGGAGCAAAATCCTACTATGATGAGCGAGGCTTCCTCTCAGGCAGGCAACATCTGAAGCGTGCATTTCGGCCTCCCTTCCCCAGCCCAGCAATAAGGCCTTGGAGGTGGTGATTACAACAGAAAGAAGTACTTTTTTTGTGGGGGGGTACGAATACCCCTAAACATTTTGTGAATCTGTACTTTTGTCCATTTACTGTATTTATTTTTCCCGATTTGGCCTGTCAAATGGTGATTTTCTGTAGTCAAAATGAGAGTATCCCTAAACAAGATAAAAAGCACTGCCTGAAAGTAAATCCCGTTGCGCACAGTGGAGCACCTAAAATCGGATTATTGTATTATCACCATCGCCCTGAGGCTTCCCCCATCTTAGCCCGACGGAGGCTGCTCTCAGGTAAGTTGTGTTTGGGATCGTCAGGAGTAAGTTAGTGCCACTCAACCCGGGGGTGGATTTTTCTTAACACCCAAGCGGAGGCCTACCCTGCAGGGATGGGCTGGCCATTACAAAGCTTTGCCCAGACCCCCGAGCAGCAGCGGCGGCGGCCCCAACTCGGTTCGCCCCACCCCGCTTAGGGGGCGCGGCTAGTAGCTGTTTACCTCCCGCGGAGAGAAGGAAGGGAGGGGAAGGAGGGGGAGAAGGCCCAAAGCCGCCAGCTCTGCCTCACCTCCTCCAGCCAGCACCTGCCGGGCTCGAAGCGGATCCGGAGCCCTTTCTCCCACCCGACCATCCCTCCGCCTGCCTCAGTCCGCTCCCGCCGCTCGCGCTCAGCTCCACTTTCGCGGTGGCGGCGGCAGCCATTCACAGGGCACGCCCACTCGGCAGCCCCGCAGCCCATTGGCTCCCTCGCCTTGGGAAGGTGGGCCTCAGAGGGGCGGGCGGGCGGACGCACGCGCGGCTGCCGTTGGGACACGTTCAAGGCCAGCCCGCTTATTGGCCCGACCCTCTAGAACGGGGCGGCGCGCGAGCCCCTCGAGAGTCTTGCGCGACGGAACACGTCGAGCTCACTCACTTCCCCTCCTCCCCCCTCCGTTAATGCTCGTTCGCAATGTCTAAGCGCTCAAGCTCCTTGGCCGTATAGTTGGAAACATTCTAGTGTTGTTGCTTCCATTTACCGCACACGTATTTCGGCCTACCCTTCAGTCAGGGGCCCTGTTTGGAATGCCGTTTATTTTCTTTCTTAATAAAAAAATCTGCTTGCAATATGCGATCACGCAGACCAGCACTGCAAAGTGTTGGGCGTCATGCAGCAGCTTCACATTGTCAATTTAAGCACAGGTCGCCCTTCCACCTTGGTTCAGGCTGCCAAACCTACCCACTGCCAAAAGGAAAATACATGTTTTTCTCCTGGTGCCGGAGACTGGTTTTTTTTTTTTTGTACAGCTAGAGCAAGCGCTGCTGCAGTGATGTGCTAATGCAGGAAGCAGTCGTGGAACCAAAGTAGGGCAAATGGATGAGGCATCCAGCCAAGAACTGTGCTCTGCATCAAAATGGGGAAATTGACTTTAAAAATTTGTGGCATGGCATACCATGACTGTGTCTGTTTAAATAAACTTTGTTCCTGATTTTAAAACAATGTAAGAATAGGGCGCTCTGCAAATTGCAGTGAATAAAAGCAGCCAGTGCACAACAAAAGCCTATTTGTGGAATGAGGGTGGGTTTTTCATTATTACAAATCACCCATTTCTGAAGGGATCCTTGGGGGGGGGGAGCCAGTACAGTACTTAATTCGTTCCTGAGGTCCGTTCTTAACCTGAAGCACCACTTCAGCTAATGGGGCCTCCCGCTGCTGCCACGCTGCCGCCACACAATTTCTGTTCTCATCCTGAAGCAAAGTTCTTAACCAGAGGTAATATTTCTGGGTTAGCTGAGTCTGTAACCTGAAGCGTATGTAACCCAAGGTACCACTGTATAGTAACTTGGCTTTTGAAAAGATAAATGTTAGAACTTTGTCTATAATTTTTAGTTCATCTGATTGTTTGGAAGTTCTTGCAGGGGAGCGCAGCTATTGTATACCCTTGACTGAAGAACAGTACACTCCTATCTGGGATGGTTATCCTCATCCACCTAGTGTGCAGCTTCAGGAAGGACGTACATGGAGCAGTGAGGGAGGAAGGGTACACCCGCCTAGCCAGCCAGATCAGCCAAATCAACCCTGGTGATCAGTGGGGTGACAGATGTCACAGCCTGATCTCCCTCACATGGCAAGTTAGAGAACCAAGGGCGAGAAATGTAACATACTCTACAGACCTGAACAATTTAACCAATGGCCAAGACCTCTGTCCGTAGCCCTTTCTCATTTGGAAAAAAGCATGTTTGTTCATTTTTATTTTGTTTCAGGATGGGTGTGAAGTAAGGAGCACCAAGCCTACAAAATTTGCAAGACTGAGTTGTCCACGAGTAGAATTAGAGAACTAGAAAAAATGGAGGAAGGGGGAAAAAGAAGAGGGGATTGCTAAATACTCTTCTCTGCAACCCCGGAAAGTTGGGAAATCTTCTGGAACAGCGTTAAGGTAAGATAGAGGGTTGCGTATGTAAAGGGGCCTCAGCAAAAATGGCTTCCCTTTTGTCTTTCCAATGGGAACACCTGCTATATCTCAATCTTGTGAATAAAAGTAGCCCTTCTGCTTGCAGAATGCAGTCTGGATGCAGCTTCAGAATCACTAGGGCCTCCAGAAAGACCATTCAAGTCAGATTACTGGTAACAAAGTCTATTTCTAAACACAACCTGCACTACAAGAGTGAAGCCTTTCAGGCACTGGGCCCATTTGATCTCTGGGATGTACCAGATGAGTTTCAAGTGCCTATGGAAGAGCCTTCCTTTAGTGCCCTACCTATTATTTTTCTACACAGAAACTCTAGCTCAATTGCGGCATAATGCTGAATTGAATATTGAACTCAACAGAAGTAGCTTAATGGGTAACGAAGTTGGTACAAATTCCCCTGCAAAAGCAGAAGAAAATATTCCATTAAGCAGCATTTTATTTCCACGCTTTCAAGCTCAAGAAAAAATTCCAACATCTTAAGTATTACAAACCACTTTATTTTTTCAAAAAACATAAATTTAAATTGCCAGTGTCTAGAAAGAAGCACATTCATAACTGAGCTATTCTAACATAGAATGATAAAACCGAAACGACTGTTTCAATTTCTAAATTGCAGAAAGATACAATACTTGCATAGCCTCTGTTACAGTAAACAAGTGGCACTTGGGATACATAGCCTTGTAGCATTGATTTTTACACAGCAAGCATGACATGTGTTTTTAGAATTTAAACACCTACAAATATTAGATGCAATGGCACATAAAAATGTCTAATCGGGTCCTGCTGCTACCTCAAGTATGTCAGTGCTATGGAAAGTTTCTCTCTAGGCAAAAGAAAAAAAGGACACTGTGAAAGGAGATCTTTAATAGTTGCTTTAATTTCAAGAGATTTTAAAAGTACATGTTTAAAGACACCATCCAGTTGAATTTAAAGTTGAATTTAAAGGTCAAGACTTGTATTATGTTCACATATGAAGCAGCAACGTGGGTTTGTTTCATGGTCTGTTCCATAGAAATAAGGCTGGATTTTGTTTGTTACCTATTGTACAGAAAAGACATTGTTAGATACTTGAAAAAGCCTTCTTGGTATGCATGGCAGACATGAACAGTTCAGAAATAATGCAGGAAATATTAGGATGGAAACACAGATCAAGAAAAATCACAGGACTACTGCTAATCTAAGACGGGGTGGGGAACTTTTATGGATCTGCAAGCCAGAAATTTCAGGATCCAGCCTCACAGGACTTCAAAAGCACACTTACCACCTAGGCAACAGATGCATGAAGGAGTTCCCTGTGAGGTGGTAGAGACTAAACCTGCTTTGTTTTGCTGACACACTATCAGGAATGCCCTTCTAGGCTTCTGATTGTGCACTGGCAACCATATCTCTGCCTGACCTACATATAATCAGGTGTGGGGCAGGTTTTTGTTATTTGGGTAAGCAATTACTTGCACCTCAGTTCCATTTTTGTCTCACTGTTCATTACATAATTATAAATTTAAAATATAATACAAATTAAAGAAATAAGGTCATTGGAGTATTATCAACATCCTTAAAAACACTTGAGAAATTTGAACTGTGGTATATTTATGCAGACTCACTTTCTTTAAAAGGTGTTTTTGGACTGACATTTTCCTTGGCAGAATGCTGAAAAGCTTTAGAAGGATCGAATCGCTTAATGCCTTGAATCGCATTCAGTTGGTCCTCAAGCTCTCCCCGAACTTTCTTTTCCTTTGCTACTTGAGATCGTAGTTTTAATACCTCCTAAAGAACAGAAGACTTCAATGTAAGTTACACAACAAATTCGGTGACATGAAAAGATGTGACTCAAAACCGGTTCAGTTAAACTTGATCCGACTTAATTCCACTCAATCTAAAGGCCTAAAATGCACAACAGCTTAAAAATTAACTCATGGATTGTGTATGTACAAAAATTTTGATCATAAAAAATCTAGTTTTAATATAATGGGATCATTGGGAAAAGATTAGTCCTTCAAGAATGCTCTTCAACTCCCCTGCACTCCCAAAATTGAAATTCCCCCTTTCATTAGGCAGTACAACAGGAAATTCTCCCTTACTTTTACCTGCAAATAGCTCCTGGCTGGCCTCACTTTATACTATTGTTGGCTCTGTTTCCACATCACAGTAAGCCATATTAAAAACACAACTCTGGTAGCATGCTGATACAGGCTCAAGTTTGTCATGCTGCCTGGCCTTGTGAATTGTTCCTCTCCAAATAATCTATGAGCAGGAAGCCAAGAACACACCTTGTTTACTACTACTACAGTATTGGTTTCCATCTCTGCAAACAAACCATGACCTGGGTTTGAGGCATAAAAAGAACGGGAGCTGAATGAGAACTTTTCAGCATCTATTCACATTAAATCATCATGTTTAACGTGGCATGTGAACCGGGCAATTGTAAAAATCCATTAGTCTTTATCAGCTTTTAAAGATATCTACATCAAACAAAGCTCTAGGACACATTCAGAATCTTCTGTGGCTATGACTATCAGAAAGCATATGTTCAGCTTTTAAAGGACTCAATGGGTCTAATTGCCAAAAAATGAGGAATAGCAAAATAAACTCCATCTCTATAAATCACATTGTCTTTGTTCTGACAGGCATGTACCTCAAACTTTTTTCAGCACAGACCTTGAAATGGTTGACTCAGTTTGGCTGGCTTGTGGTTTCTTTACACCCTTTTCTGCAACACTCCCTGCTGCCCCCAGCCGGGTGCAAAAATAGTCATCTGCATCCTCCCAGTTGACAGGGACTTGTGAAGTAGTTCCCCCGCTCCCTTAAATGCTATTTTCTTTTAATTCACATGTTTATTTCATCTAATTCTTAACCCACCCCCTTCAAACAAGCAAACCTATGGTAGGGTACATTATTCTGAAAAACAGGTAATTCCACTAAAAACTTTAAAAGCATCAGTATAAGAGCTACTCCTTACTTATTGTCAGTGGCTCAATATGTCAACAATCTACCTTAAAAAGCCCGGCTGGTGCTGAAAACATATGCATTTCTTTGTACCTCATGCTGTCTCCCCTACCCCCACAGTGTTAGGCCATTGCTGGATTTTTTCATGGCCCCCATTTTGCATCCAGACTGATGGGTACTCAGCCTCCTGAGTTTGTTTTGCTCCAACTCATAGCAATGCTGCCTATCACAAACCTGTTTCAGTTGCGCATTCTCTTCTTTCAGTTTCACTACATGCTTGATTTTCTGCTTCTGATTCTGATGGCCCAACAGCTTGGCATATGCGTCGCTAAGTTTGTTCAGCTCTTCTTGGGCGGCACCATTCTCATTCAAAAGGGCATTCTTCTCCGCCTCGTATGCATCAAGTTGTTTCTGAAATTTAACATTTAATATACGCTGAACTACAAGCGATCAGCAAAACTCGAGTTGCTTTCAGATGCTGTGTCCTTACTGTATAACCAATTCAATAATGAAACTGCCCATTACCCCCGCCACACACACACCCCCGATGAAATCCAACATCAACCCCCCCCCACATCTGCTTGAGGGTCCCCAACCCTCCAGAGAAGTTTCTGGAAGGCATAGAGGGCTGTAGAGGGGAAAGGGAACTGCACATGTATGGTCATCACTGAATTTTACCCACAGCTAATAGTGTTTAAGGCAGGGGTAGTCAACCTGGTCCCTACCACCCACTAGTGGGCGTTTCAGGATTCTAGGTGGGCGGTAGGGGGTTCTACGGCACAAGCTGAATCCTCCTTCCATCGAGCACTGATGGGCAGTAAGAAAATTTTACCATCAAGAAAGATGCATGAGTGGGCAGTAGGTATAAAAAGGTTTACTACCCCTGGTTTAAGGCAGTGGGAGCACCTGGAGAGTAGTGGAAATTCCAGAGTTTATTTTGGTATTTTTTGCAGTATCTAGACTCTTAATGGTGTTAATCAGACTAACCTGAAAGGGTTTGACTTTATTAAGCAGGTCTTCGTACTGGGTACGCCATGTTTCCAGGCTCTCTCTGCAATCAGCTTCTACTTTTTCAGCAACAGTTCTCCTAAGGAAACAGAAGTCGTGCAATTCATTTCTCATTTCAGAGATCCAATTACCTGATGCAAGACCCAGGGGAGCCTGCATTTGGGGCATCAAGGAGCCTGCTTTTACACCTGCTTCACACTAGTCTCCTTCCTGGGATCCTTATAGAAGAGGAACTATGGTAGGATAGGCCAGAAGACAGCACAGTAATAAACTCAAACTTGTGAAACTTACCTTTCTATTTCAAGTTGCTTTTTAAAGTATTCACTTTGTTCTTCAAGTTTTGATTGCAGATTAGCAATTTCCACAATACTCGATTCTTTGATTCTTTTTATTTCTGCATCTTTTAATTCTACTTTTGTCTGGGCATCCAGAATCATCCTAAGTGGGGGGTGGGTAAAGGGAGGGAGGAGATCTTTTTAAATTCTCCACCTGATGGATGGTCGGCAAAAAAACAGAATGAACATCTAGATAAATGGCACAAATTGCCATGAAAGTCAAGTACTAAAAGTCAGTCAAGAGTCAAGTACTTTGACTAGATCCTCACTTTGTAGGATCAAATATGTTTTGCAATTTACACACTGGTACAATGCGAAGGATTTGCAATTATTATTATACAAATCCTATCCTGTATGCATGCTTTTCTTTGATAGGACCAAGAGACAAGACTGTTCCCCTCAGCTGTTATTTGGGCCTTTGGAGATGAATATGTAGCTTATTCTGTCTAAACCTTTTGATGGGGGGAGGGGAGATGTTATAATTTATGATCTGTGCTAGTGACGAACAACTCTTTAGCCTAGACAGGCAGAAATCTGGCTGAGCAAACACATGTAAATATCATCCCACTTCACCATCAGGTCTATCAGGTGAAATTTCTTATCGTCGCCCTTACCTTGCATTTTCTTCCTGCGCCATTTCTTTGGCAAGCTGTGCATCTTCCATCTTTTGGGTCACATGCTGAACAGTTTTGCTCATCTCAAGTAATCTGTCCTGCAGGGCCGTTTTCTCTTGTTTGAGGGATGTGATTTCTTGGACCACAAAAACTTTGTAACTAAGAAGGGTTACAATATTTACATTCCTGCTTGACTTGTGCGCTCAAGCTCTCCTTTGCCACGCCTTACACACCATGCTTTGTCCCACCCTCACCCCTGGCACTGGTCAACTCACTCTTCCCATTCCTCCTTGCCTACATGTCAACAGCTTAGATTGAGGGGGGGGGGATAAACTTCCTTCACTGGTGCAAACTATCCGGACAAGGGTCACGCTGCTTCAGAGCTCTGCACAGCAGAATTCAAGTCACTCATGGGAATTAAGGTTTTATGAAGGGCTTAATGCCAATTTCCCCATGTGCCACTGAAGGATACCATTTGGACTTCATGCAAAACCCCATCATGCTGCTAGTCAAATGATGCCTTCCATTTTTCTATCCCTCCTATACATCAGGGATGGGATGCCTATAGCCTTCCAGATGTTGTCAGACTCCAACTCCCATCATACCCAATCACTGGGCATGCTATTGGGATATGATGGGCATTATCCACTCCTGCCCCCCCAAAAAGGGAGACTTGCAAGGTTGGTGTCATAGACAGCTATTTAATTACCCACCCACCCTCATTTCAGCTAAGTTAGTTAAATAGATTGAACCTTGTAACACAGCAGCAAGGTAGTCCATACTCATTTTATGGTATATAAGCAGCAGCAATACCAGGGGGTAGAAGAGGGCAGGGGAAAGTGATTGCCCTGCTTCTGCTACTCCTGGATGCTTTCCTTCCTCCCCAGCACCACCTGCCTTTTGGGAAGGATCCCAAAGATAGAGGGTGTCTACTACTGTTTAACAACACAAAATCCTTTGTTGCAGAAGCAAGTCAATGCACATGCAAGATGAAGCTGCCTGCAGCAGTTTGCCCTGATAAAACTCTGGAACTGGAGTGGGGGACCTGAAACCATCTGCAAGTGTTGAGTTCAGATTTGTGTTAATGGGAGATGAAAGCTGAAATAAGAAAGAATCATTGGGGGGGGGGGGGAGACGGACACAGAGAGCTATCCAAATGCCGCACAGCAATACCCCCAATTTGCCTTGCCCATCCCATCACCATGTCCTGACTTGGATGTTCTCATGGGCCAAAGGAAAAGGGGAAAGGCCAATGTTCTACAGTTCTTAAGACCAGCATCAACCAAAATAAGTCAACTGTGAAAGGGGGAGAGAAGGAGACCGAGGGGAAACACACCATTTACACAAGAGCAGAGCAGAAATGAAAGCATCCACTTACTACCCAAAGACTTACGTACGTTTCAAATTCAGCAACGGTCTCCCCAAGCCTACACAGAGTATTGCTATGCTCTTCTTGCATCTTCACAACGGTACTTCTGCGCAATGAACCTAATTTCTCCAACTCTTCAGTTTTCCTGGGGTGGGGAGTGGTGAGTCAAAAAGTGAACAGCAGTATTTTTTAAGAACAGCCCCCCCCCCCAAAGCTAGCCAAAATTTTATGAGCCAGTGCCTCCAAGTGCTTGTTTCTGAGTCCAATGCAACCTTTCCTTTAAAGTACCCTAGTCCTTTTGAGTTAAAAGCAATGTGCACAAAATGGCTTAGTGCGCTCTCTCTCTCTCTCTCTCTCTCTCTCACACACACACACACACAATTTTATCAATATATGTCATGTGATCTTTTTCACCTGCAGCTTGAAAGACTACAGCTCAGGTACAGGTTTGCTCACATCACCTGCCATTTGTGAGAACTATGTCTAAATGTAAGTATGCAAATCACACTATTTCTCTACATACCCTATCAGTTCCGCTTCCAGCGCTGCTAGCTTCTCAGCTTGGGATTCCTTCACATTTTCCAAGTGTTTCACCACCATCTCAACTTGGTCTTCTTTAGCGTGCAGTCTCTCCAACTCAGCCATGGTTTCTCTCAATTCTCTTTCCAATCCCTGACGCAAATTAGCAGAAGCCACCTGAAATAGATTCAACAAATAGCATGTAGCTTGAGTGAACCCATTAATTAGAACAATCTGCCAAGTTATCCTTCCTTCTGATCATGTTCTGCTTCAACCCAACATTCTTTGCCACTGCTTCCTAATTTAAGAAATGTTATTTTTTGAAACTATTTTGATGAAATTTTGAGACACTACCCCACCACATATTAAATTTCTGGGTAGATATAACACAGCCCAATCTCTCCGTGGCAAATTGGGGTGGCTGATTCAATAATCTGAGACATAACCCAAAACTATGCCCATTATTCTCCAATACTGCCAAGAGTGAAATAGGTTAGGAAGCTTCAGATAATGTGAAATAGCAGCACAAAATCTCCAACAGTAGTTGTTTTTTGTCTGCAAATGGTGACTAGCGGGATAAAACTCTTCAGCTTTCTAGACTCCTGCTCAGCTTTATTTACATTATAGGCTTCCTTCTGCTTTTGGCGCTCCTGTTCTTCTTGAATCAGTTTTTCTTTCAGAAGATCTATCTCCGCATTTGCCGTTTTCTCCTTTTCTCCATATTCAATTAAGCATTTCTCTAAAAAAAAAAAAAAAAAATACAAAGTTACACAAAAAACCCTGCTTGGATGTAGATACAGCTTTTTAAATTCTAACTGTTCTGCTCTGCCATTTGCAGTTCATTCCTAGATTCGTGCATTTGTGTCTCCAAAGTAAAAGTAGCATACAGGAAGAGGTTTGCTTAGCACAATGATTTCCACCACCAATAAAATAAAAATAAATTGCCTCATAATACAGTGCACATCAGTCAAGATTAAACTTGGAGCTGTCGTTGAGAAAATGAGAGCCAGCTGAGGTCTGTTTTGAAAGTAATGTAGGCATATTTGGCCAAAACACACCGTAACTTTATGGTCACCTTTTTGCTGTTCAAGCAACTTGCATCTTTCATGCAGTTCTTCAATTTCTGTAGACAGCGTTGCTTCTTTCGTTTCAAGAGTATTTTGCAATGTGTCAATGTCCTTATTCTTGGCTTCTATTATTGCCTCTAACTGGATGACATCCAGCTTGTATTTATCAACTTGTTCTGAAACATTGCTGTTGGGGAGAAAAAAAAGAAACACATGATGTTCTTAGTTTACAGTAGGTTTACTCTGGCAAAAGTTAGATCTCAGCTCAGCAACTTCCCCTAGCTTTGCAATGTAGCGAGTCTTATTTTAGGCCTCTGTGCTGCCAGCAGTCTCTTCTGAGAAATATTCTGAAGTAGTCACATTTTACTACTGCCTGAAGAAGAGATCACAAGGATATCTTGGTAAACCTGCCCTAGTTATTTTTGTTTTGTTTATTTTAAGGTTATATTTAGCATGCTGCTCCTTGATTAGATCTTCATTTCATCTTCAGGTAAGGACTTGGATCCCATTAACATCCTCAAACTCTCCAAACCAGAAACAGAGGTCACCCAAAGTCCTTTAGAAGTCACAATGCTTGAAACAATTGCTGGGACTGAAATATGCCAAAAAGTTACCCCAAGAGGCCCTTCTGATTTTGTTGCTGTTCCTAAAATGCCCAAAGATGCATTTAGGAGAGGTAATGGCTCTCTTGCAGTTTTAGAAGCTTCTGGCTGATGACTCCTCAACGTATATTATTCCTTCAAGGGGGGAATAAGAGTAGCAGATATCCACAACCTAAACACTCCAGTGTCTAAATGCCTTCCCAAATAAACATAAGCTGGTATGTTAGCCAAAGATATAGGAATATTAGCAAACTGCATTTTCTAGTCTAGCCTTTCCCAAACTGGTACCCTCCAGATGGAATCCAAATCCCATCAAACTTAGCTAGCAATGCCACTGGTCTGAGATAAACAGATGCTGTAGTATAGCAACATCTTGATGACACCTGGCTGGAGAAGACCATCTTAATTTACCATAATCTCTACCCTTATAAATGATGGATGCACCAGCATCTTGGGTCAGAACAGCTGCCTGCTGGTAGTCTCTTCTTTTCTCAACATTACCATCAATGCTGACTCAAGATTCATCAGTAAGCCAACATGGACACTTGTGGTCCATCCCATCCACAAATGCCAGCTGAAGACTGGGGTACTTCTCCACACCCTGCCTTCACTTACATAGAACAGCAGCAGCCTAGGCAAAAACCCAGCTTTTATCTCAGTTAGCATTTGTGACCCCCACTCTGAGAACCAGCAATGGACTTGTCACCTCTAAAAACGTAGCTTGTGGAAGTTATGTCTTTGGGAACCACTAGCTTCACACTTCAGTTTAACAAGTGCAGACAAA